AGTTGTCCAAAACAGGCTGCTGAGAAACCGTTAAGTGTGGAAAGTAAGTAAGTTGAGGACTACACATCTGTACTTTTTATAGGCTTACAGGAGTTTAAACTCTTTTGTAAAGAGCTTTTTATGTACTGAATCAAGGCTCCCATATTTGAACAGGGATCTATATGACTGGGGTTGGGTGGGGGTGGAGAGATAGGCTGAGGCCTGAAATCAAGGATCAAATTAAGCAACCCTAGTCTTTTCTTCACTCAGCTCATCTGACTCTGGCCTTTCCACTAAGGAGACTCAAAGAAGACAGAGAGCCTCCTGGAATTGTAACACAGAAATGCAGAGTATACAGCAGAGATGTGCATGGGCAACAGTTCTCATTCAAAATCTAGCTCAACCAATAGGCTCAGAAGTTTTCTGCAGTCACATTCCTGGATAAAGTCGGCACAACTAAGAACGCAGCAAAGCTGCTTTTTCTTTTTGCCCACTCCCAAAGACCCACAAGTAGTTGGTTCAGCCCTTCTCTTTAGCTAACACCCCTCCCAACACACACACACACACACACAGAGTAGGAGGTCTGAGTAGTCACCAACTCCTGCTTCCAGAAGCACAGACTTGGGGGCGGGGGGGGGGGGCAAGTTTCACTCCCAGATCAAAGGTTTGTGGCCGAAATCACTTTCAGGACAGCGCGTGAAATCAGCAGCAGATGAAAATTCCGCCGTCTTTTCACAGCGTCCAATGGAGCCAGCTTCCCCAGTTCAGAGTCTGCCTACAGATGACAGAAGATACTCCATAAACTCCCAACTGTTGCCCCAAAAGACCCACTTAAAATTAAAGACAAGATAATCATTGAAGAAAGCCTTTAAGGCCATTATGTGATTAGCAGGATGGGAGGAGAGAGGGATCTTGGGGTTTCTCCATCTTCCCAAGGCACAGCCTACAAGGGGAGCTGATGGCTTCTGTCCCAAACCTGCAGCAGCCAGAAGGGGCAATGGGTGGTAGGGGAGTATATGGTTTGCACACCCCATTCCTCCCTTCCTTGGAAGCCTTAGACCAACTTTAGACCAACTTCAGGGAGGGAAGAGGATGGCCAAGTCTCGGAGGCAACACAATGTGTTAACACCCAAACTCAAAGAGGGAAGAACTGAACCTTCTAAGACCCCACCCCCAGGACACGGAGGCTGGCTAAGGCCCCTCTGGAGGGGTACACATCAAAATCCCTGTGCATTAATCCCGGTGTTGACAAGACTGCATGGCGACCCTCCCATGCGAAGGGAGAAGGGCTCACCCAAAGGCAGATTAAGGCCCAGCGTTTTGCTAAGAGGCCCCTGTCTGGGGTTAAAACCAACAACACAGCAGTCTTCTGAAATGAAGTCAAATTTGCCACCTAGCAAACTCTCTGTTTCTTTCCCTATTTTTATTCAGACCCTTATTCTTGCAAAAGCAAGAAACTCCAGGAATTAAGGGTGAAAGAAGGGCAACAACATCTAAGGAAACAAAAAAAAGTCACCTTTTAAAAGTGATAAATAAGCCAAGCCACCTTTCTTGGGCAAAGAATTCTCTGGAAACACACCCATCACTGCTTTGACCACTCACTGCCTTGTCCTCACCATCTTGTCCCCTGGCCCCAAAGAATGAAAACCAGAAAAAAAGCATTCACGCCGTCTCACTGCCTCTGAAGCTTTGGCACAATACTGCTGTCAATTCCCCAGTTCCTATCCATATAAGAGTCATTTACTTTATTAGCTAAAGAAAAAAAAAAGCCCTCTAACATCTGACTGTCAGTCCGCACATGTTCAAAGAGAACAGTCTGGCAGCAAACTTTAAATTATATAGAAGAGAAATCTGACAGTTGTTGATTTTGCAGTTTTCCTCCTTAATCTGGACTTTAGAGAGTGGCCTGCCAATGAGCCAAGATTTTTGCCTGGGTCTCTCCCTTGGGGCAGTCTGACTCAATCTCAGCTTCTGTGTGTTTGTTCCTCAATGTGAGCAATCTGAGGACTCGGCACACTGCTTTGGACAGAAAAGGCACCTTTTAATATTTGATTGAGACTAGCTCCTGCAGAGGGATTCCCTTGCCTGGATTCTATTAAAACTAAGTCCCCATTTCCCTGACCACAGTTTCTAACGCAAGCAGAGGATGGTGGTTCTGAGCTGTGCTGTGATTTCCAAAACAACCACCTTTAACAACCAAAATCTCATACCAGAACCCTTCAAGGCCCCTGTGAAGCCCACTGTAATGGAAGCTGCCTTCTTGCTCTGTTTTTAAGGTAACGCCCCATTCTGGCTAATCACACCAGCCTTGGGGACCAGGGGAGACCAGCAGCCCCAAGCACTACAGAAACAGGCCAGGCTGAGAGCGAGCAACGATTTTAAGAACACACACAGGTATGAACCACAGCACATATTGTACTTCTTGAGGTTACTGATGTTCAGTGTCAGGTACATTATCTCTGGAATACCGGCAAGTGTGAGATGGAGCTTGCAAGTTTCTTCAGGCCAGAGTCACCACTGCCTCCCCTATAAGACCAGGAGGCAAACCCCTCCAGTTAAGAGGCAAGGTGAGCTCCTCTAAAAAGTGGGTGTCGAGACAATTGACTTTTCCCTTAGAAGAATTCCCTATCCTTTTATATAATGTTGCCTAGTCACCTGCATATTTACTTTTTAACATGAGAAGGTTGCAACCCTGTAATAAAAATTATTTCTTAGGTAAAGATCTGCTTTGGGCCCTGGAGTATTTCTAGGCTCTCACACTAACACTTCAGAAGAAAGGGGGGGGAAAAAAAAGTCCCAAGGTCCAAAAGGAACAATGGCCCACCGTGACAGTAAGGACACACTCCCTGGATACCACCTAATGGCTAGAACTGAAGGAACCAAGCTAAAGCATATGCAGTTCCAGATAAGACTTCACCAGCAGTCTACAATCACAGATTTATTCTAAGGAACTAACAACCTCTGGGTCACCCAAGGTGAGCCAGGCTTGTCCAGGGAGTGTCTTGAGCCAGGGAGTGTCTTAGTAATCATCATTTAAAGTCATAATGATGAAAACTGAAATCTCGCTTAGTTTAGCTCCTGGCCACTGGACAGCCCAATTGGCACTGAACTGATATGGCAGTTAAATGCAACCCTAGAGCAGCAAGAAGGCAGGCGCGGCAGCGTCCTGTTGGGAAGAGTCAAACAGAGGCCTGCTGAGAATTCTGTTTTATTTGGGTCCCTTCCACCCTCCCTGAGTATTCGTTTGTGCAAATAAAAGACAGAAGGGAAGAAACCAAAATTAAAGTTTCAGGTGGCTGGGGAAGCAGCTCAGATTTTTTTTTTTTTTTTTCTATTTTGAAAGAGTTAGCAAGTGTTTCTCAATAGTTTCCTGTCAATCAAAACTGCTCTCAGGAGAACTGGAAAATAGCAGCTCTATCCCAAAGAAAATGCAGCCATTTCAAAAGAGAGTTGGGAAAGGGAGGCGACCCATGTCATCAAGACAGGAGGTCTCTAAGTCACTTAATTCCTTGTGATTCCAAAAGGACTGTTTTTAAAGTGTAAAAGTGCTTGCTTCTGCCTCTGCCCCATGTTGTTAAATAACACTTGTGTAATTAAATAAAAGAGCAAAATGTGACCCTAGCCCATTCTGAGAGGCACTTACATGCTCTCTGAAAACATGCTGGAAACTAAATGCAGACAACCTCCTTAGTCCTGTAATTTAAGGAAGAGAGAGAGGAAAGTTTCTCTTGGCCTTCAGAGCCACATGTCTCTGAGAGGGGGCCTTCAGGGTCTCGGCAAAGGAGAGTGAATACAAATACAGGTGTGCAAACATCCAGGTATGGCCCTCTCTCCAATGACCCTATTCTTGAAACCCTTAGATTATTTAGAACCCTGTCTGCTGACTTCCCTTACATTCCACCATCTCTGTTCCCTAATTGCTTTTCGGGTTGGGTAACAAGAAGGATTCCGAACCTCAGGCTGCCAATGGCTGTCCTGATAACAAGGAACAGGCTGGTCTCGGCCTTTCTTGATCAGGTTACCCTGCAAGGTGTATGATTTCCTCTCATATGCAGCCTCTGCCCTCTCACTCACGCTTCCCTCTCCAGCCCGGTCTATTGGAGCTCGTGATTTTTAGGGTTTCCCCTTGAAACCTATCCAGAAACCACAGGCATTAAAAGAACATGAGGGTTTGACACCTCCTGAATTTAGGAATGAGGGGACTCCGGGGGCCAACTCTGCAAACTCACACCTGCTGTTTGATGGCAGAGAAATGAAGTTCCCCAGCTAGTGCGAGCTCGAAATTACACTTATTCATTTAGTGACCTTTCCCCAAGGATCGCAAAGCATGGGGTGAAATAAGATGACGTGTAGCTTTCTCACTATCTACCTTCAAGCCTCAAGGCTGTTTTCCTTGTTTTGCCTTCACGCATTCCGCCATGGCAGGCCCTGGTCTGAGAGAGAAGCTTTCTCTCTGTGCCCAAGTGAGGCCATGTGTCCTCTCTGCGATTATCTGTCAGTGGTTCTCAGAGTCCTCAAGGCCAGTTAAATGACAAAAATAGAAGGCGGGAGGGGAGACCCTCTTGGGTTCATCTGCCAGCTCTTTTCATTTAAGCCAGTTTATATACCATGCACCACTGTGCCAGGCAAAGCACTCTTAAGACTACACCAGGCAATGATCTTTGCCCTCCAGGCATTTTCTCATCATTATAACACAGGTATGTCCAAGGCAGAAAGGACCATTTTCCAGAAAGTTCTTTCCCTTCCAGCTCACCATGATTATTTTAGGGTTTTTTTTTCTTTTACTGACCTAACTTAGGCCTTCCTCCTCTTTAACAGGACAAACATCTAACTTCTCTCTCTCTCTCTCTCTCTCTCTCACCCCTCCTCCCTACAGACATGAAGGCTGCTCTGGTTTTTCCAGAGGGCCAACCAACTCAAAGTAGAGGGTGGGCTATCAATCTCCAAAGGTGCCTGCTAGTCAATCTCCAAAGGTGTCTTCCGGCTCCAAAACTCTGATTCTCCCTTTAATTACTCCCCAGTAAGCGCACTGTTCACGCGGTTTCCAACTGGCCAGTGACTTCTCTTGCGATGAAGAGCGTGCATTTTTCGGCGGCGGAACTCAAACTTCTAAAATACACCAGCGCCGCAAATATTCAGAAGGCAGGAACTAACCCAAAAGCAAAATTAGGAAGGCAGGAGGGAGGGGAGGAAAAGATGGAAGGGAGCGAAGGAGGAAGGGCTTTACTCGGTGCCCAGCGGCATTCAGAGGCTCTCGCCCCAGGTAGGTCCCAAGCAGAGCCTGGCGTCCCGGCGAACCCAGCCCGCCCCTCCCCCACAGGCCCCAGGAGCAAGGGAAGTTCCGCCGAGACGCGCAGCACCTGCCCGCGGCTCCCGGCCGGCGGCGCGGACCGGCGGGGCGGGAGGCCGCACTCACCTGGCACACAAAGGCCGCGCCCGCCTCCGGAGGGAGGAGGCGCTCGCAGGTCCGGGGGCCTCGGCGGGAGCGGCGACGGGGAATTCCAGCGGCACCGGAGCCCCGAGCTTACCCACCGCCCCGGGCGGCCTTCTCCCCACCTCCCGCTGCCCCCGGGGCTCTAAGCCGGCTCTGGCTGGGTGCGGGGGGGCCTGGGGCTGGGGAGGGGGGCTCATGGTGGCGGCCGGGGCCGGTGATCGCTCCTCCCCGGGAGGGAGGGTCCCCGGCGCGCGGCGGGGATTCACCCACGGGGCGCGGCGCTCGCGTCCCCGTCCCCGTCCCCGGCCTGCCCGCTGCCGGCTCGCCCGCCCTCCCGCCCGGAATCGCTTTATGTAAATGAAGCTCAACTCGCAGTTTGCAGCGCGCACCGCCCGGGGAAGGGGAGCGGGCGGGGCGGGGGGCCTTCGGGGATCCACATTACACAGCAACAAAGCGGAAGGTTAATTTGAAACTCACAGCCCCGCCGCCGCTCGGCTCCCCGGGCAAAGCCTGACATCTACAGTCGTGCCGGGCGCAGGCCGGGTGCTCCGCGGCGGCCGCGCCCGCGGGGACACGGGGACACACACTGGCGCGCGAGGCCCCAGCTCTCGGCTGCGCTCCGGGGACGGGCCTCCGGGCAGGCCGGGCCTCGCGCCCGGAGACAGAACTCCGGGCGGCTCCGCCTGCACCGCTCGAAGAACCAGCCCGGCGGGAACAAAGCCTGGTCCTCCCCAGGCGCTGACCCCTCACTCATCAAAAGTCAGGGGCCGGCCTAGAGTCGGGCGAGAAGAAAGGGACGCTCCCTCGGCCAAAAGAAGAAGCCTGGGGCCTCCGAACCGGAGTCCTGGTTCTCCGGGCCCCAGCCACGTCACAGCCAGGCCACTCCAGCGTACGGACATTAGCCAATGTGGACAGGAATTTATTTGAAACACACACCCAACCTATTAACTGCTTTACAGAGCACTTCTGTTTTTCAGCTGCAGAAACTTATTTAAAAAAAAAAAAAATCCCCTGCTCTCTATTGAGAGTTTAAGGATAGAGTTTTTCATGGGAGAGAAAGAAAGAAAAAGGAGACAGAAAGAAAAAGTCCAGTCTGCAATTAACCTTAGTGTCTTTAACAACATGCCTTAAAAGCCATAGGTCATGTCCCTTCCTAGGGAGATTCTACCACCTGGGGCAGATTTAATGTGGCCACTCCAGTTGGTCAAAGCAGTCGCTGGACACTTTTCTATCTCCCCAGGTTCGTCTTCTCCATTCAGATACGCAAAAGGCAGCACCACAGAAACCTCACCGGAAGTCCCCTGTCCTCCCCGCTGGAGTCCCAGGCTCAGCCTGAATTCACTCCAGATTCTCAGCACAGAAAGGCACCTGCTTTTGCCCTTTCTGAAAGCCACCCACCCCGGCTGGCCCCACAGCCCTGAGAGTCCTTTCTGACTGCACAATAATGAACCGTGCAAGTGTTAGAAATATAATAAGCTCACGAGGCGAAAGAGCTGTATGTATGGAATCGTATTAGCGTTAAGCACACACTGATGCAGGAGGGAAAGGGGCAGTGAAAACTAGAAGGCATTTCTACACAATATAATTTGGGCTCAAATTAATATAACTACCTTAACCTGTTGGGGAAGGACAGCCCCTCTCTACATTTTACTTCAAAAAAGATACTCCAAAAAAAAAAAAATTTTTTTTTTCCAGCCAGAGTCCAGGGAGAAAAGACTGCCTCTAGGGAATCATGTCCGATTAGGGACAAAGGACAGCACAAGCCAAATTCTGTCACACATGAGAGAGTCAGGGGGGCAGGGGGAGTGGAGATGGAAAAGGGACAAGCGGAGGGTGATTTTCTAAACCAGAGTATGGCCTCTGCAGAGCTGTTTCCAGACCGCCTGACTTCAGGTCCAAGAACAGGTGGTATTTTCAAAACACTATTATTTATTTTAGCCACATAAGCTGAGAACACCTTAAAGAAAACCAATTAATAATTTAATTGAAAAGTGACTATGAATAATACATGAAGATGATGATGCTAGCAATAATGCAAGTAACGTGGCACAGATAACTCAGAGATGGTCTCTGGAAATATCTTCAGGCGAGTGGAGACTTCAGGTCTCCACGTCTTACCTGGAAGCAACCCACAGCCCAGCAGATAAAGACAATACAAAAATGTTTCTACTCCCAGAAAATCTAATTTTGCTGCTTTGTCTTAACTTTTATTAACAGGTGAAAACCTCCTAATCCGGTGACATCATAAACTGGGTGGGCCAACAGATAGGTATCTTCAACAAAATAAAAGCTGGAAAGCCCAAAGATCCAGCCATCTAGACACCTGGAAGGATTGTGGAGGTCTGAGCAGTCTGAAACTGCCACCCCAAGTGGCAGACACTTGCCACCACCTCAGAGGCCTGACAGGTAGAACCAAGAAGGACTCTGAGTTCCTTCCCTTTATTTTAATTCGACACCAAGCTGCAGACGAGGTAAAGGCCTGGTCAGGCCTGCCTTTGCTTCAGGCACAGACTTAACAGGTAACCCACAGGCAGGTGATCTACGGCCTCTGCATCATCAGAAATATAAAGGATTACACACAAGTTGGATGTTACTGCAACCAAAACTTATTTTCATCGCTAACCAAAACAATACCTCTTCAGAGAGTTTTGCAAGTTTCGCACTTCCATATGGAATCAACAGTTTTTCTGACATACGTGTTGCAAATTCTGTCCCCCGGCTCTGAAAGGCCCCAGCTCTTCCCAGGGCAGCTGTCTGACGTGACACCCACGGCCTACCCAGCAGTGACAGGCGGGCGCTCTCCTCGCTCCTTCCTGGACACTGTTGACAAATAAACCCACTCTCAGAAAAGGCAATTCTTCTCTTCCAGTTCTCCATAACTAGTCTTGTCTCATCTGGAAAGCGTAACTGGCAACAGCTAAAAGGATAAACATTTAAAAATAAATCAGGGAACACTAACCCCTTCCCTACTCCTCCCCTTAGCCACTTTTCAAGTCAGAGGCCAGTCCCCTGGTGCTTACTGAGCTGGCTGGTAAATTACAAAGACCCCATCCAGCCAAACTGGTTGTCTCTCTCTCCCCTACACACACACACACACACACACACACACACTCTCTCTCTCTCTCTCTCTCTCTCTCTCTCTCTCTCTCCCTTCCCAATGCTGCTCCTTTTACTTCATCAAAGGTAAATATGATCTCTGAGCTAAGAGACAGCGAATGTCAGCATTCTAACTTGTAGCTAAACCTGGGCTCTTGTCTTCACAACACAACTGGGTTGAGGCAGATATGGGTATTCTTCCAGAGCCTTCTATTTTTACTAAATTATACATACACATTGATTTTTAAAACTAGTGCTTAAATAACCTTGAGGCTTTAACAAAGAAAAAGCCAGAAGAGGGCACAAAACAAAAACAAAAGTCCCTGAAATAAGCAAGGAAACATTTGGCACTGAACTGCACTGCATGCCCTGAATTCACCCCATTCTTTCTAGGCAGTTATATTTAGGGGCCTGGTACCCACTGGGTGGCCAGGCCCTCCTGGGTATGGTACAGAATACACGCTTTCCTCAGAACAGCCCACACTCACCTCCAGAAGGATTAGAGGCTGGTGTGCCAAGGCCTAACAGATGTTCTGATTCACATTTCTCTGTCACAAACCTCAAGGCCTCCATCTCTTGCTACAATGCTAATTCCATAGATTAATTTTTAGCTCCCCACCCCCAAATCTTAGGTGGAATGCTATCTGGTTTACTTCCCCAACCTCCCCAGCTCAGAACCTAAGTCTGTCAATGACAATTTTAAAAAGATACAAATGAGGAACCATTTAAAGAAGGGGAAAAAAACCAAAACTGTAGTAGAGAAGAGCTTTCCTCAAATTTCAGTTAAAAAGCCCAAGTTTTCAGAAAGCAAAAATAAAGACCTTGCCTTAAAACAGCTTTAAAACATTAGGTGAGAAGCTTGCTCTTTATATATATATATATATATATAATTTCTGAAAGGGCCAAGAGAATTTGCCATGCAAGACTTTTATACCCAGGGGGATTCTTACATTTGTGTTTCTAAACCTTGAAATTGAGAATTTTAATGAAAAGGCAGACAGATTCTTAAGGACAGCATCGAAATCAGGGTCCATACATTACAGGAGAGAGGTGCTTTGTCTGCGCCCAGGAAAAAGAGGTGGGCTATTCTGCTCATGGGGCATCCCCACTGTCTGACACATCCCTCTGCCCTCAGCCTGATGCACACCGCTGAATTCTTGGAGGGGAAGCAGGTTGAAAGGAGAAGAAAGGAAAAAGGCAACGAGGGAGGAAAGAAAAGGGGGAGGGGGATGTGGCCTTTCTATGTAAAATCATAGTTTAAAAAGAATTCTCAACACAGCCTCAGTTTCACAGTGCATACCAACAGCCCCCTCCATACGTGCATTAAAACAGTCCCTGAAACGATACACCAGGAGCACAATAAAACAGAACCAGAATTTTTTTTTTAATGAATCCAAATTGCATTTGGATTTGTGATTCCTTCCTACCAAGCAACCACTTCTTCAAGGCAGGATCCTAAGAGAGAAACAAAAGATGACCCTTTTCACACTTCCCCCGATGATCCCAGAATCCCATTGTCTTATCTTTTCCTTTTAGTGCATTTTTTGTCCGAAATTTGTGGTAAGCTCACTTAAGAGCCCCAAGCTGAAATTTCACATCTCCTCCAAGTCAGGCAATGTTTTGAGAATCTGGATTTCTATTGAGGCCATTCCAATCGCCAGTAAGGCCTACGGTAAAATGCGCTTGCTTCATGCTGTTCCGTTTGTCTCTCTGCAGACAAATAGAAACTGTGAAATTTAAAGAATGGGTGGGAAAAAAAAAATCTAAAACAAAGAGGTTAAAAAAATAGGACAAATGTTTTTGCTTTTGTGTCTCCCTGGAGCAATTGTTTGGGGGAGTCTGCATTGACAATAACCATGAGAAGGCCATCTAAAGGCGATGCGCACACAAGGGGACTCCTTGCCTGCTGCCTTTGGTCTGGGAGAAAAAGCACCTTAGCTCCGTTCTCCAGGAACAAAAGGCCAGGGCCACGGAAGGGGGGAGAGGTTACTGGGGCTTTCACATGAAGCCAAGTGTCAATGCAGCTTCATTTTTCACCCGTCTTAGTTGG